ATCCTAGTGCGGTACATCCGATCGATTATGGAAACGGTGGCCTAGGAATTGCACAGGTAGCCGGGTCCCGTCGATTCGCTCGTTCGTTTGCCGCTTGGTCGGATTGCGCAACGACCGCTACTCCGGCTTTCTTTTCGCCGACGATGGCCGCTGGCTTTCATTGGGCACCCCCCCCCCACTATCACCCTCCTCCTCTCATCATCCCAGCGGGGACTCCTTAACCCTGACGAGTCCCAATGGGACTCGTTACTCAACTCGCGGAATTCAGTCGGAGACTGAGTCTTCCCGAAGGTAGAGTTGGGAAGGGGCGCTCATGTGGTCACGTGACAGGTTAGCATGTGTCACAGCACGGGACCGATCGCGACCGATTCTTGTTGATTGATTATTTATCGTGACTAATGTAATGTTGGCTGATGCGACGCTTATCCTTAAGGTAGCTAACTTAAACGCTCGTTTATCGAGGCTTTAAGGAACCCGAGCGAATTCGAGCTCGATCAATCAGTTATTACTACCGAATGCAAGCACTTCTACACATATACCTTTTGGAATAATATTATTTTGTACTATTCACGCCTATTTTACAATATAACCTACACATCCACGCGCACGCGAACGCACGAACTCGCGAACACGAGCACACACACGGACACACACGCGCGAAATAATCCAAATATGAAAGTCGACGTTTCAACGAATGGAATACCAAATAGTTGTATTGATTCAATGAGTTTCATCAACGGATTAACGTATATGTGGCTACTTATTAAATATTAAATATAATATTGCACATAGATGTAACACTGTTTTTAATGTGTGCGTGTAAGATTGCTTTGAAGCATTTAATCGAGCGACTAATATGCTGGAGAAAAAAGTTGAATATTGCTTAAATCATATTCTGTCTTTTAATATCAATAGTATGATAAGATAAATTCCTCATCGATCATCTGTTACGACATAGTATCCTAAATTAATCGAGCCTCGATCAAACGACTATATATCATAACAATTAACGATTAATGTAAAAAAAAGTTTTTATAACAAATAATATTTAGTCTTATTAACGTGATCTTCAGATTTTAAATAAGCAATACATAAAGAATTGCCCAATATAAATAATGTAATTAAAAAAAAAAAAAAAAAAAAAAAAAAAGAATAACTTTGTAATGCAACTATTAAATCTATAATCCTTAACTTTCTTCTTTTCTTTTTCTCGAGCGAAGCAATAGTTAATAATATACTGTACAATCCAATAGCCAATAATAAAAGAAGCGTGTATTCCTATTATATTTTCAATGATTAGGTGTAAAATATTCATATCTTTTCATTTTCGTCGTGGCTTTAATCTGGACGGTTCGTAAAATAACGATAAACAATAATGGGATGAACTAATAAACGCCAAAGAGATTCTGAAATGTAAAAACTTTCCCTTCCGCCTTTTGCTTTAATGTCAGCAGTATATTTTGTAAGGAAAAGAGGAAGGGGGATCTAATTAAAGCATACCAAAGTTATTCAAAGTTTTTTCCTACGGTATGTCAAAAATATCGACGTCTCTTCCTGTTTATGAAAGTATTGCATTCCCACATGTTGCTCTGGGACAAACATTACAAGATGCAATACCTAGGAATGGCATTTGATTTTAGCTTCGAAAAATATTCGTGCAATTAATAAGACACAAGCGTGCTCGAATAAAAATAAAAACATCATGAAAATACAATTTATTATTTAAAAATCATTAATGATAAAAAATGATTGATTATTATTATATTACTCCATTTATTCATATTTTGAATGAAGTTCTTATTAATTTATAACTTTATTTTAAATCATAATTTGGATTGAACGACTAAATTTTGTATTAAGTATAGGCTATTGTTTTTTTTTTTTTTTTTTTTTTTTTTTTTTTTTTTTTTTTTTTTTTAATAACGTTGATAGCAAAACCCTTTGTATCAATGGAAGATTAATTTTACGTTTTTCGATGGAGCAAAAGAGTTCAACAACTTGAACGGAACTTTCGATAATTTCGCTTTCAGTATAATTGAAGACAAAGTAAAAGTTTCGTGTCCAAGCATATAACGAACATTAAAAGAATTTTACCATACGCGCGCGCGCACGCTCACAAACACAAACATATTATTCTCTCCTCACACATGCGCTGGAAGAAAAACTCATAAAAAAGCCAGTTTCCGATTACAGATCGGACCCGCTTCGTTACTCATC